TTTTTTTTCGGATCAAGTTCGAAATGGCCGACTGGCGGCCATTTTCTTAAAGAATTCAGTTCTGGATCCGTATCCAAGACATGTCTGGATTTATCAAGTTCAAACTTCACACACACATGGTGCATCATGTCACAAATAGATATGTGCATTTGTTTCATGATCCGCTTAGCAATAGCTGAATGATGGCCATTTTAAGGCCGAAAATGCATTAAAATCACGTATTTTCACAATTCCAGAACCGGATCTCAGTCATGCATGCATGGATTTTGTTCAGATTTAGTACAATGTGTTGTACATATGCAGGTGCATTTCGGTCATGATCTGCTTTGAATGTATATGCCACTCAAATATGAACGGAACGGGGACGTGTCATTGACAATGACTTGTTGATACTAATATTAATTCTATGAGCACCCAGATTTGGTCTTATGGGATAAATTGTAAATGTGTCATGGTCATCTTTCTACCACCATTAAACCTTACAATGACCAACCTTCCACATGCATGCTTGCCATCTGTCTACTATTGCCTGCACACTTCGATGAATGGTCTTTTTTTAAGGGTAGCCTCTTGTTCAGCTAAACTTTTCTATCGTAAAAAATTACGTGTATTTTTTTGGGGGGGGGCAAAGTTGCGTAAACAAAAATACCCGTAATTCATTATGATAAAACAGTTTGGCTGATATCCCCAAAAAAGGACTGTCAGATTTACTTCTTAGTCTATCATAGTAATGACTCTGGATTCTTCTATATAAATAGACTAGACAGATGGCCTTTATTTGGTGCTATAAGTGCAGGGCATGTGAATTGATGGCTGAATTCTACAACTGCTAGTACGTTTCTTAGATTCCCAACTGTAAATAGTCTTTCCCTGTGTCCCCCTTGATTCTTCAGAGCATCGATACTATGGTAAATTGTGGCTGTATTAGTTGTAGTGGTTGGGTGGTTTATTGAAAATTATGTGGTACTTCTACTTATTGTTTATATGGTGTGTAAACGAATCATTTATATTTTGAAATGAGGTGGTATTTATTAATTGCGCTTCATCTGTGTTTTCAGAGTAATGCTGCCCTTACTGGTTCTAAAAAAAAAATTTTGACATGGTTTCTAAAACATTTGTTTTAACAGTGTTTTGGTAGATAAAATTCTTGGCCTTGCATTTATTAATTTTTAATGTGTGACAGTAAATAGTTGTACATGTATGTCACTATTGTAGTAAACTCTTCATAGAAGTTCAAACAGAATTGATGATGTGGTCTTTTATATTTATGGGTTCGTGCCACTACAATACCAAAAT